TATGTATGTATGTGTATATATGTATGTATGTGTATATATATATGTATATGTATGTATGTGTATATATATATGTATGTGTATATATATATATATATATACACACACATTACTTACTCTTCTTTGTTGGTATTCTCTCTTAATCCAGAGACCAGTATCTCAGAGGTGCCTCCATCGTCTCCTCGGTTATCCAGCAACCTGCAGGAAGTCACCTGCTGTCTTGGACCAATCACAGTGAGGGGGCGGCGAGGAGAGCCAATGAGACACTGAGAGAGATGGGACGTCTGAAGACTGAGATGAAGATGCTGCTGACGGTGAGTAGACAGAGAAGTAGAACACAGTAGAGTCCAGTAGACGCTAGTAGAGTCCAGTAGAACACATTAGAACACAGTAGAGGCCATTAGAACACAGTAGATGCCAGTAGACGCCACTAGAACACAGTAGAGTCTAGTAGAGGAGCTTCCTGTCCAAAGTCTGAACCATATTCTGTTGTCCAACAGCCAGAAGACTCTCTGAAGACCACCACATCTGGACCAGACCACTACCAGTCGCAACAAAACCTCTTTCAGTCCCAACAATCGAAGTCCCAACAATCGAAGTCCCAACAATCGAAGTCCCAACAACCCCAGTCCCAACAACCGAAGTCCCAACAACCCCAGTCCCAGTCCCAACAAACTGATTCCCAACAGTCCCAGTCCCATCAAAGTCCTTTCCAATCAATCCGGTCCCAACATTGTCAGACCCAGTCCCAGCTCTCCCAGCAGTTCCAGTCTTTGCTGGTCCAGAGGAAACCAGTGGTTCCGTCCACATTGGAGGAGGTGGGTCTGGTTCTCCGTCAGGTGCGGAGACAGAAGAAGGTTCTGGAGGAGAATCTGGAGGCTCTGCTGAGAGCAAGAACTGGAGATGTTCTGCACTGCCAGCTGGATGCACTGGCTGCTAACAGGTAGCTAATGCTAGCTTACTGTCTGCTAACAGGTAGCTAATGCTAGTTTACTGTCTGCTAACTGATGGCTAATGCTAAGTTTATCTCCTCTGTGGCAGCTTATATGAACAGGCTAACACTATTTTTATTTTTAAGAGGTCGCTAACCAGTTTCTAACTAGCTTCATGCCTGCTAACCCAAAACCAGGGTCAACCTTTTTCTGCTAACAGACACATTTTCTATATTCTAACAGCTAGCTAGTAACGTATGTCTGCTAACGGATGGCTAATGTAAATTAAATGTTATCTATGTGTCTGTTAACAGGTAGGGCTAGCTAATGCTACCTCTGTGTGTACGAGCAGGTAACTAAAGGATAATGTTAACGTTATCTCTTTTAAGGAAGCCAATGTTCTAAAACATGCTAACAGCAGCTAACTGGCTTCATGACTGCTAGTGGTGTAACGTACTGACCCCCCTCACAGTTTAACGTTAACCATCACAGTCTCAATGAAGTACTGACGACCAATATTCAGTAAAATATGTGTTTCTAGTCTCTGATCTCTGATAATGTTACATTGTAAACAACCAATCAGAGGAGAGCCAGTAGCGTTAGCAGCACCACTAACGGCTAACCAACGAAGGTTCACTTCATTATTATTTACACATTATGATGCATTCAGGCTCTGACCAGTGAAAATGAGTACTGGCTGAAGGTAAATTTAAACTTTATCATGATGTGTTCACATGTAATCTGTAAAATTAGGCTTTTGGTGTAGCTAGCAAACCAAACTAAATGTTACTACAACAAACTAATACTTTGTTGATGTGAATAATGTACCAACATTAAACACCACAGAAGAAGACTGAAGCGGTAGGTGTGTGTCCTCTGTCCTCTGCAGAGACTGGACAGAGGAGGTCCGAATTAAGAAAACAGTGGACGCCTGGATCAGCACATCAACCAGAGACATCCAGGTGAGTTTAGTAGTGGACCACCGTCCTCCACCAATGACAACGCTGCACAGGTCGTCTGTCAAACAGCTCATTAATATCCATGTTCAGGTGAATGACGTCATCGTGATGAGGAGGTCAGCTGACGTAGTATAAAGACTCCAGAGTCGTGTGTGTGTGTGTGTGTGTGTGTGTGTGTGTGTGTGTGTGTGTGTGTGTGTGTGTGTGTGTGTGTGTGTGTGTGTGTGTGTGTGTGT